CTGAAATTTTTTTCCTCATTTCCTCCTAACCTCCTAACCCCTTCCAACCCCACATATGACCTTATGACCTAGGGACACAGCACATCCTGCTGTAGTTATTTAACTGATGTATTAAGAGAGTCCCTGGAAAATGGAATCTGGTTTAAGAAGAATAAAAAAAATAAGATAATAAAGAGTTAAACATTGATGTACTTTGCTTTTTTCTTCTCCTTTCCCACGTGTTGCATAAAGTACAGCTGTGTGGCAGAATAGATCTGACATTTGATGTGAGAGGCATATGTTGATTGAGCACTTACTATATGCTGGCCCTGTGCTGTGTGGTGGGGGAGGGGAGCAGAGATGAATCACTACCCTGGAGTTGCTGCCCAACACGACTTTCTGATCTGTGGGATTTCCTGCCAGCTCATCTCCACCCTGGCTGACTCTACTGGCCCGGCTGCCCGCTGGTTGTGGGGCATTGCTGAATAATCCTGCTTTCTGGGCGGAAAAGAATTTGTTTTCCTCTCTTGATGACAGTATCTTCAATATCTTAAGGTATGGCTGTATCTGTTTATTTCCTCCTTGTTGGTTACTATTTTTACAAGAGACAGAACCTCAAACACTTACAACAGTTAAGAATCTGCACGTTAATGTATTTTTTTAGAAACTTTGGTCTCTTTCCACCCTCCTGTATATTAGTGCTGATGCGTATGCATTGAGCATAATCTGTTCATCACAGACTAACTTCAGGTGGCCACTAACAGTTATTGATGGAACCATCTTTAGCAGTTTGATCCTGGTCAGAAAGAAATAATGATTGAAAATGAGTCCAAAGTTCCCCAAAGACCTATTGATAGACACAAGGTGCTTAGCTTAGCCCACTCTATGAGAGACAACAGTATAATCAGTAAAATAATAGCTGACATCCACTGAGTGCTTTACTGAAAGCTGGGCACTGTGCTAAGATCATTGTAAACATCTTAATTAGACCTTGCGACAGCCCCAGGGGGCAGTTCATGTTGTCTCCATGTTACAGATGGGTGAATTGGCTTCAGAAAGAAGCAAACAGCTAGGATTACAACCCTGGGGCTGACGCCTACTCACTAATAGCCATAAGAACTATTTTTAAAAAAGAAGTTGCAATTTCTGTCCTTTTGATATCTGTAGCTATATCTATCTATCTATAATACACACACACACACACACACACACACACACACACACACACACACACTAAGGTGGCCAGACGTCCCGCTTTGGGCGGGACAGTCCCGCCCAAAGCGGGACGTCTGGCCACCTTAATATACACACACATACCTATATCACTATGTGTATGTTTATGTGAGTGCATGTACATAATAGCTAACCTTGCAATACAAACATTTTAATAGCCGCCTATTTCCATAGCTAAGAGGGGCCTGAATTCATTTTGTTTAAAGTCCTCGCTTTTTATCTGTACGGTGGCTAGGCGCTTAAATAAAAAAACAAAACATCCTGTTTGCATTCTTCTGGTTCCCCTCCGTTCCTAAGGCCTATTCTCTGTGTTGTCCAGGGCAGCTCAGAAGAAAGGCATAGCCCGTTATCATGGCAACCGCCAAGCTGCCCTGCCGGATCTGGCCTGGAGGTGGGTCATAAAGATGTGGCCGATGGAAGGGGACCCCCGGAGGGCTTCGCGGACAGGATCCCTCCCTGGGCACTGCCATGCGGAAGGTCTGGGTGGAGAGGTTTGACTTGGTGGGGACTTGGTTGAGAGAGGTCTGTCTCTCGTTTATTTGTGAGAAAGGCGGGAAGATAACTTCTCACCTCACCCGGGAGAGGGAGCACCAAGGAGGACCCGCAGGCAGCTTCCCCTCCACTCACCTGAGGCCCTGCTGCCGGCACCTGCCCTTCTCCACCAAGAACCTGTGCCCGTGTCCTGCTGGGCATGATGGGAAATCCCTCCTGGGGGATGACGGGAAGCCCGTCCTGGTGAATGATGGGAAAAATTGGCTGGGAGACCTCTCCCAGTGGATTATGGGAAGCCCCTGCTGGTGAGTTAGCTGGTGGGTTATGGGAAGCGTCTCCCTGCCAAGGTTTGTGAGAGGTAGAAAGGAATGCCCTTCCCCGTGTGCCTCGCTTTCCCCGTTAGAAAGGAGGAAGACGAGTTAAGCGCCTTTGGAGGGCCTTCAGAATTGGGAGGAGCTGCTGCTGTGATCACCAAGCACTTCTGAGACACCCAGGGGCTAGGGGCTTGGGGTGTGTGGGGTACCAGGAATCAACCTAACTGCTCTTCCTAGGACTTGCCAGGCTCCACGGAAGAGAACAGGTGGGGCTCTGACCTGCGCTGGGGGCAGCCTCTTCTGAAAGGAGCAGTTAGGGTTTTGTCCAGTGGCTGCTGCTGGGAGCTGAGAGGCGGTTCTGATGTTTATCCCATCTTGCCTTATTTGGACAATTGCTAAACCTGGAGTGTAGTGAAACTACTGTATTGAAAGATTTTTATTTATTTATTTATTTATTTATTTATTTATTTATTTATTTATTTATTTATTTTGGGGGGGGAGGAGGGAGAAACTGAACAGTTTGCATGCATGGGACATAAATCAAATGGTAAATTTTAGGATTCCCTTGCACTATGGCTAGGCACCCAGTTGCTAATGATATTACCTAGAACAGGGTTTGCTCAAGCCACTTTCTGGTTTTTTGTTTTTTGTTTTTTTTCTATCTAAGACTTATTGAGCCCGTGCTTCTCCACTTCCTAAGTGGTTTAAGGCCACTCCCAGAAAATCAGAGTGATTCACGTAAATCGGAGGTCTGGGAGGCAGTAGAGGATAGTGATTGACAGTAATGGCTCTTAAGTCAGAATACTTGGTTTGGGTCCCACTAGCTGAATAATCTTGAGCGGTAATTTCATTTCTTTGAGGTTGCCTTTTCTTAGCTGTACAATGGGGAAATGACCATGAGGATTTAGTGAGATAATTCATATGAAACTCTTAAAACATACCAGCACAGTCAGGACTTAGCAGTTACCGTCATTGTTAGAGCAAATGTGAAAGTTAAATTTCTGACAATTATTTTTATTAGCAAAAAACTAACATTCCAGATTTCTGACACTTAAAATAGGTTGGATGTTTTTATTTTAATGACATGCTCAGTTGTAATAAACGTGTGTGTGGAGGTTCGATATCCTATCAGGGCACATGCCCAGGTTTCGGGCTCAGTTCCCAGTAGGGGTGTGCGTAGGAGGCAGCTGATCAATGATTCTCTTTCATCATTGATGTTTCTATCCCTCTCTTCCTTCCCCTCACTCTCTCTGAAATCAATAAAAACAAATAAAAAAACCCCCCACCTTGACCATATTTCACTGGCTTGATTGAGCATCTACAATGTGAAACCACTTTTCTAGGCACATGGGGAGAAATATAAGGGTGGCATGGCTTCTGAGTATCCAGAAACCAGATAGTCACACAGATGACTATTACAGGACACAGAACTTGTCTTGTGTGTGTGATAGAGATTATTTGAGGTACTATGGTAAGGTGAAAAAAAGTTTGGAAAGATTCTTTCCAAAAATAGGGACTTTTTAAAAATGCTGCGGGACGCCGGACAAATTGTTAAAAATCGGGACTGTCCCGCCAAAAGCGGCATGTCTGGGAGTTGAGAGAGAGAGAGAAAGTACATCTAGAAATATCTATAGAAGCTGCAGGAAGGAGTTTTCACACATTTAAAGCAAAAAATTAAAATACAGAGAAATATGTTATATATATATATATATATATATATATATATATATATATATGAATGCACACATCACAGAGAAAATTACATTTTGTCACACTCAGACCTTTAAAATAGCTGATGGATGGAATATGGACAGGTCATAGAGTTGAAGTCCTTCCTCTTTCTCCAAGTCCCATACCTCCTCTCTCCCTGAGGGGTGCCCTTATGAATTTGGAGACTTGGGGGCGGGGGAAGTGGCCCCTTAGTCTTTGTTGAATGGCTATGCTATCGATAGTTAATAGATAGGCTGGGGGAAGGAAGGCATTTCCGGGAGAGGGTGTGGCACAGGCAAAGGCATAGAAGTGGGCAGTGAGGGTGTATCTGGGGGACTGCCAGTGGTTTGGTTTTGTGTGAAGCAGGTAACATATGATAACATATGGGAAGGGGTGGTGGGCCATGAAGCTAAGAAGATGGCTTGGGCCTTGAACATGGAGACACTGAATTCCAGGGTGTGAGACTGGTCCACATCTGGGTTTCTGAGCTGAGGAGGAGTGCGGGTGGCTGAGCGGGCCAGAGGCTGGAGGCTACCGCCAGAGGTTACAGGGTGAGTAAAAGGCCTGGATCCGGTGATGACGGAGGAATTGGGAAAGGGATGTAGAGGGGCGGTGTCGGATGTCTGGAGGAGACTGTCCTGTGCCGGGAAGAGGAGTGGAAGTGCAGGAAGTCCGGGCGAGCGCATCTGCTCAGAGGTCAGCGCTGCCTCCGCGTCAGGGGATGTTTACAAACAAGAAGGAAGATCTCAGAGGACACATCTCTGCGGATCGCCAACAGCGCAGGGCGGGACGAGCCCAGGAGGGTGGGGTGGGGCGGACAAGTCCGCAGAAACCGAGGAGCGGAGTCCGAAGGGCCAGTGCCACACCCGGCAGGGGGAAGCCCTCTCTAGAGGGGGCCCAAAGCGCCTCCTGCAGCCCTTCTCCTTAGGGGCCTGATTCCAGGGGGGCTCCGCGTTGCAGCATCACCCAGCAGCCCGGAAAGAGGGGTCCCTGGGGTCAGCCACGTGGCAGAGGGTTAGACAGCGGGCGGGTATCAAGTCCGCTCCAGGCCCCGCCTCCCCATCGTCCCGGGCAGCGATTGGCCGAGGTGCCCCGTTGCTATGACAGCACCCGCGGGTGGCTCCTCCCAGCGCCTTCGCATCCCTCCGCCCGCTCCCGGCGGGAGGCGGGGCTGGACGCGTCTCCATGGCGACGGAGGACGCGGGGGTGGCTGGTACTTACTGACTAGAGAGGGGCGCCGGCGGCGGCGGGCATCTAGGTTGAGGCGAGGCCATGTCGGACCTGGGCTCGGAGGAGTTGGAGGAGGAGGGAGAAACTGATCTTGGGGTGAGCGCTCCGGCGGAGGGAGGGGCTTCCCGGGGTGCGCGGTGGCAGGCGGGACCCCGGGAGGCCAGGTCAGGCCGGCTTTGCATAATAGGGACCAGTTACAGGCCGCCCTCCCGCCCCCTGCACCCCGAGGCCCAGCGAGGGCCGAAGAGCACGCGGGCCGCAGTGGGCGCCGCGGCTTGGAAGTCGGTGGTGAAAGGTGAAACGTCATGACGTCTGCTGGCCACATCCCTTCTCGCTCTGTCCTCCCCCCCCCCCCCCCCCCCGCCCTCTTCCGGTTAAAGGCAAAGATTCCTGAGTCTAAGGCCCCAAGCACCCCCACCCCCCCTGCCATTACCTTCCATCCAGGCAGTTTTCTTGGATGGCCCAGTCTATTGTTGACTAAGTGTTTCCGCCCTGGGGCATGGCTCCTCAGGATTGGAGTGGATGGCGAGAGCCTGGCAGCCTTCAGGTCTCTGGCTCAGCTAAGGTTTCCTGGAGATCTCACCACTTAGGTCTAGAATCAACTGTGCTTTCTTCACTTCTGGGGACTGACCCAGGCCATTGGAATGGCTCCCTGATTTAGGCGATAGAGAGGAGGCAAGGCAGGCACACACAGGGAGGTGAGTGGGGCTCTGTGTGAGCATATGTTGTTGGGAGAGTAACCTCTCTGAAGCCAGAGGGAGGCCATTTCCTAGCCATAACCCCTGTGTGTGCACAGGGTACAGGGTTGCAACAGTTTCCAGTTAACCAAAAAGCCTAGCCCCTCTTGTGGGGCTACCCACGCCTTTTAACTAGCTTCGTTCCCCCATCCCCAGCTCCTACCTGCTTTGCTGCATGCAAAGGAGCTGCCTGGCCAATAGGGGAAGCCAGAAGGGCCAGGGAGCCCAACCGAAGACAGCCAGCGGCTGGTGCTGAAACCCAGGAGCTGCAGTGATTTGCCCTCCAGAATCCCCTGTGCAATGAGGCTGAGTCCGGGGCATCCTGGACAATCCCCGTGCTTCGTGGCCCCCTCAGCCATATTTGTCACCCCGCTCTCTTCCTGGTTTCTCCCTGGAGCACTTAAAAAGATCCACTTGTGCCGAAACCGGTGTGGCTCAGTGGATAGAGCATCTGCCTGCAGATTGAAAGGTCCCAGGTTCGATTCCGGTCAAAGGCATGTACATTGGTTGCGGGCACATTCCCAGTGGGGGGTGTGTGCAGGGGGCAGCTGATCGATGTCTCTCTCTCTCATCGATGTTTCTATCTCTCTATCCCTCTCCCTTTCTCTCTGTAAAAACTCAATAAAATATATTTAAAAAAAAGATCTGCTGGCTCAGGGTCTGCTTCTGAGGGAACCCAACCTACAACACCTTCCCCCTGCAACTTTCTAGTTTCCCTCCTCAAATGGCCCCACTGGATTTGTAACTTCTTTTTTTTTTTTTTTTTTTTTAAAGTTGATTTCAGAGAAGAAGGAGGAGGGAGAGAGAGAGAGAGAGAAACATCAACGATGAGAGGGAATCATTGATAGGCTGCCTCCTGCACGCCCCCTACCGGGATCGAGTCTGCAACACTGGCCTGTGCCCTTGGCCGGAATCAAACTCGGGACCTTTCAGTCTGCAGGCCGACGCTCTCTCTATCCACTGAGCCAACAGCCAGGCAGATGTGTAACTTTTTTTTAGTGCCCAGGTGTGGTTAGCTACCTCCCTGAGGACGGGGAGGGTTCCGTGGGATGCTATTTAGAAAATGCTTAGCACACGGCTGGCGCTCAAACAGTGGCAGCTGCCATTGCGCTGACTTCTTTGCCGTTGCCAGGAATACGAAGGGGATCGGAACGACGCAGGTGAAAGGCACGGCCACGGGCGAGCCAGGTTGCCCAACGGGGACACCTACGAGGGGAGCTACGAACACGGGAAAAGACACGGCCAGGTCGGCATCGGTGGCGCGCGTGGGTCGTTTTCTCTATGTAAGGCTCTGTTAGTGAGTATTTAACCTGGGAATGATGCAAATCCTAACCCATGTGTTCCAGGGGGTCTACAAGTTTAAAAATGGTGCTCGGTACATCGGAGAGTACATGAAAAACAAAAAACACGGTCAAGGCACCTTCATATACCCAGATGGATCAAAATACGAAGGTAACCTGCTCTGGCAAAGCAGCTTTTTGGGCTGCAGAGGTCTGCGTTTGGGATTGAACCCTTCTGGGAATGCTGGGAAGAAGGAGGACGTTTAAAGTTCTTGGCGTTAGTCAGTCACTCAACAAACACAGAGTGTTCCTATGTCTCCAGGGCTGATGCAGACACCGGAAAGCCTTATGAGACGTGTGACGGTCCCCGGGGACCAGCACATTCTCCGCTGTGAGCCTGGGTCCCGGGAGCAGATGCCAGGGAGGCTGCGGGGCAAGCACAGACGCTGGGGAGTGGGCCGCACCCAGGACGTTCGGCGCTCTGTAGCCTTCGTCTGTTTGAAGAATACACGGCTTGTTTAGGCCTGGTAGTGCCTTCTTATCAGAGAGGCATTTTGCCTTGTTAAACTAGTGTTCTTAAAAAAAAAAAAAAAAAATATATATATATATATATATATATATATATATATATATTTATTTATTGATTTCAGAGAGGAAAGGAGAGGGAGAGAGAGAGATAGAAACAACACTGATGAGAGAGAATCATTCACCAGCCGCCTCCTGCATGCCCCCTACTGGGGATGGAGCCCACAACCTGGGCATGTGTCCTGACCAGGAATTGAACCCTGATCTCCTGGTTTATAGGTCAACGGTCAACCACGGAGCCACACCGGCTGGGCTAACCTGGAGTTCTTATTTCCGTCATAGTCTCCAGTGTTATGTCTTAGGAAGATTCTGATTCTCTCTCTCTCTCTTTTTTTTTTTTTTTTTTTTTAAATATATTTTATTGATTTTGTACAGAGAGGAAGGGAGAGAGACAGAGAGCTAGAAACATCGATGAGAGAGAGTCATCGATCAGCTGCCTCTTGCACATCCCCCACTGGGGATGTGCCCGTAACCAAGGCACATGCCCTTGACCGGAATCGAACCCGGGTCCCTTTAGTCCCCAAGTCGACGCTCTATCCATTGAGCCAAACTGGCTTCGGCAGATTCTGGTTCTCTTATTCCCAAGAACCCCACTGCTGCCCCGGCACCATGGTCATCTGGGGGCACCTATAGTTTTCGTCTAATCCCAGCAGGGGATAAAGGAAGTTCCCACGCTCGGAAGAGAGACGAGTGGGGAGTGGGCAGGCGCCTTCAGAGCTGTATGCAGAAGTCTGTGCTCTGGGCTTCTTTTCTGGGAAGACATTCTCTAGTTTCATCAGATTTCCCCAAAGACTTGTGACCCCAAAAACAAGGTGTGACCTCGTACAGAGGACCCCATCGCTCCCTGCCTTGGCTTTCTCATTGGCAGGGAATTACCACACGTGGAACCCTCAGAATCATGCTGGAGGGATGGGGAGCCCTCAGTAAATGGGGGCTGGGTCACCACGTACGTGTATGTGTGTGATATCATAACCACTTAGGAGCCAGAGGGTGGGGCGGGGAAGGGAGGGGGCCTTGCCTTGGTCTCTGGGTCCTTAACCGCACACAAGGCAGAGCAGTGTGGTGCCCGCGCCGCTGGCAGCAGGGCAGACGGGCCCTGGTTTGAACCCTCGCCGTGCTGCTGGCCACCCACACGTGACTGTGGCCCCATCCATACACGTTCCCAACCCCATGCTCAGTTACCCCTGACTCAGCCCCCTCAGCCAGCTTTCTACTCTGTTCCATCCGGCCGGGAGGCAGGGGCGGGGGGGGCGTCGGAGCGGAAAGAGACAGCGGGGAAGGGGCCAAGGGCGGGCTCCCTCTCACCAGGGCGTGCTTTTGTGTTGTGTCTTGCAGGAGAGTGGGTGGATGACCTGAGGCACGGCCATGGCGTCTACTACTATGTCAATGGCGACACCTACACCGGAGAGTGGGTCGCCCACCAGAGGTTCGCTTCCCTCTCTCGTCTGGTAGATAATTCATGTAATGAGAACATGGCGATGTCTTTATATATATATATATATATATATATATATATATATATATATATATATATATACACATATTTTTTTAAATTGATTTTTTACAGAGAGGAAGGGAGAGGGACAGAGAGTTGGAAACATCGCTAAGAGAGAAACATCAGCTGCCTCCTGCACACCCCCTACTGAGGATGTGCCTGCAACCAAGGGCCATGCCCTTGACTGGAATCAAACCTGGGACCCTTGGGTCCCACAGGCCGACGCTCTATCCACTGAGCCAAACCGGTCAGGGCAACAATGTCTTATTAAGAAACAGAATCATGACATAAATTCACATGCCAAACCCTGCCAGGCTCTCAGGTGAGGCAGCAGGACGATGCAGGTGCAGACCCGTGGGGGAGAGCACATGAATCCTGCACCCCAGGGCCATGGGGGGTGAGGACACAGAGCAAGGACCTTCTGGGGACTGAGCCTCGGCTCCCAGGAGCACTGCCTCTTCACGTGAGAGCCAGCTGACCTGCAGGCAGGCCCCTGCTGTCCAGCAGGTGATGCCCGCCCCATGCGTGGGCACAGGGAGCAGGAGCCATGCTCTGCTGGGGCAGGTATAGGATTCGATGGCCATGACCCTGTTTCAGCCCTCGGTGAATGGCCTGCCCACACACCTGGGAGGGTTCTCATGCTTCGGATCACCAGGCTGTGTGCCCCTGTCGCCCCCAGGCACGGGCAGGGCACCTATCTGTATGCGGAGACCGGCAGCAAGTACGTGGGGACCTGGGTGAACGGACAGCAGGAGGGCGCGGCCGAGCTCATTCACCTGAACCACAGGTACCAGGGCAAGTACTTGAACAAAAACGTAAGTCCGCAGGAAGTGATGTTTGCCCATGAAATAACGCAGTACCCTTCTCCCCAGCCTGGGTATCCCCTGTGTCCGCCCGGAAAATCTTGGAAGCCCAGGGAAACCCTCCATCCCTCCAAATATGGGAAACAGGACAGCTGTGCCCGTCTCCGAGCATCCTGATAACCCACAGAGGGCAGAGTTGGGGGCGGGGGGCCGGCCAGTTTCTCTGCATCCTAGTAAATCGCAGTCTCTTCCAGCCGTGGCCAGGCACGTCCCTATAACACGGGTCATGCTACCCCCTTGTGTGTGCTCATGGGGGAATCAGATGTGAGATCCTCGTTTGTCGGGAACGACTGGATGTTTTCTGCGCTTGAGCGTGTGGGGGTTCTGACTTTCTCTCCCCTGGGGTGGGGTGCAGGGCCGGAGCTGGGGGGAAAGACCATGAGCCCCCCTCACCTGGTGGTTGTGGGACCGGAGAACTGCCTGGAGCACCAGACCTTGGGCCTGAGGCCTCCAGGTTGCAATAGCCACTCCGGCCATCTCCGTGGGCAGGACTTTGTGGCTCAGCTCGCCCTTCTGTCCGAGCCCTAGTGGGGTGCAGAGAAACCGAGGGACTCAGAACCTGCCAGCCTGGCATTCCTGAGGCTCTGAGCAGGGTTGAACTGATGCTGTCCCTGAAGAAAGAGTTTGCTGAGCAAAGAAAGCGGTTAGATGTTAACATTGGGATTACTTAACTGATCCAATGAAGTAACCTCAGACTCTCTTAAACTCAGTTTTCATTTACAAAAGATCAAGCCCTAATTTCAGATTCTCCCATTAGTCTTTGTAAAACAGCGCGTTCCCCTCATACCTAAACACTATCCTGCCCATGGGTTTCCAGCATTGCTCTTGTGGAGTTAATTCATCAGGATGGAGACACGTAGATCTGAGAAGCAGCAAGTCAAGTGACGGATGCAAGGATGTGTCCCAGGGTAGCGCTCGATCAGGATGTCATTTCAAATTGCTCAAGAAATGACGGGAGAAGTCAAGAAATGGTGCTGGGAACCCTTTGGGAGAAAAAGGAAATCAGAGTTTGTCCTCCAGCTTATAGATAAAGACGCTTTCTGGAAGAAATGAAGATTTAAATATAAACAAAATCACTGCGAGAAAAACAGGTTATTAACTTTAAAACGAGGACAACTTCCTAAACAAAAAGCCAGGAGATTTTGCCAAATAAAAACAATCCCTTTATAGATTAGAAAATACTAGAAAGGAAATTTACTACTAAGATTTATATGATGAATGGGGTTAGGACATGTGCAACAGTTAGTATATAAAACAATCAATCAATGTGATTTAAACGGTCAAAATATTGAAAAAATTCAATTTTACTAAATAACTTAAAAGATATGACTTACAATGATTTGTTTATATATTTAAAAGTGTAAAGATAGAGCGAAATGTTAAGGTCCAGAAAAAAACACAAGGGTTTGAGGACAAAGAGGCTCCTACTTGCTTCTGTGGGATCCTCATTCATGTGTATATATACTGTGCATACTTTTGTTCAGAAATGTTATTTCTGAAACTTTACCCCGAGGGAACTCTCCAAAGTGTACACAATGATTTAACCCGGAATATGTTTACTGGCAGTCTTTGTCCACGAAACGTGTCAGCAGACCAAATATTGGCAATAGTGAATACTAATAGTGAAAATAGGTTATAATGCTCCGGTGAAATAAAATACAGATTGACAACTGGTGCTGTGGAGGAATATCGGTACACCTGGGAAGGCACTCATGCCATGTGTCTAGTAAAAATAGAGCAGCAGTCGATATATGTAATTATGACCAGATTTTAAATCAAAATCCCTCTGACCTAGGAGAAACAAGGCTACAGAGATTACATCAAAATATTATTAGTAATTCTATCTCTATCTAGTTTGCCTGTGGCTGCGGACTTAGTAAAACTTTTGTAATAAATGCATTACTTGTATAAAGGGATTAAATGTAGTTAAGTTTTTTTTTAATATAATATATTTTATTGATTTTTGTACAGAGAAGAAGGGAGAGAGATAGAGAGTTAAAAACATCGATGAGAGAGAGTCATCGATCAGCTGCCTCTTGCACACTCCCTATTGGGGATATGCCCGCAACCAAGGTACATGCCCTTGACCGGAATCGAACCCAGGACCTTTCCCCCAAGCCGAGGCTCTAACCATTGAGCCAAACCGGTTTTGGCTGTAGTTAAGTTTTTTAAAAGTATATATTTTATCGTTTTTTTTTTTTATAAAGAGGAAGGGAGAGAGAGAGAGAGAGTTAGAAACATCGATGAGAGAGAAACATCAATCAGCTGCCTCCTGCACACCCCCTAATGAGGATGTGCCCGCAACCAAGGCACATGCCTTTAACCGGAATTGAACCTGCGACCCTTGAGTCTGCAGGCTGATGCTCTATCCACTGAGCCACACCGGTTAGGGCAGTAGTTAAGTTTTTAAAAGCAATCAAAATAGGCCCTGTACTTTGCAATTCTGTGAGCCATTAGTTCTGAAACGCATTCTTTGACCTATATTGGACTTACCCCAAATCGCATGACGCAGGTAGAGTTTATGGGGATAGCATTTCTAAAGCATTTTGGACTTTCTATTGGGTGCTGACTCTCAAGCGTGAAGTACCTCTTGGTTTCTCTTTGCTCGTAGCCGATGGGCCCCGGGAAGTATGTGTTTGACATTGGATGTGAGCAGCACGGGGAGTATCGGGTCGCAGATGTGGTAAGTGGCCAGGGGTTTGTTGTCTAATGCACTCGTAGGCAAGAGAGCTGCCCACAGCATCGGCCCCTAGAGCAGTGGTCGGCAAACTCATTTGTCAACAGAGCCAAATAGCAACAATACGACGACTGAAATTTCTTTGGAGAGCCACATTTTTTAAACTTAAACTTCTTCTAATGCACTTCTTCAAAATAGACTCACCCAGGCCGTGGTATTTTGTGGAAGAGCCACACTCAAGGGGCCAAAGAGCCGCATGTGGTTCGCGAGCTGAAGTTTGCCGACCATGGCCTTCAGTGGAGTAGAGGAGAGTGGTGCCAGCTCTCACGGACTTGCCCGTTTCCCCTCCTTCTTCACGGGCCCTGATAGTCTGGACCTGCGTTGCCAGAACTCAGTGAGATCCGGGCACAGTGACCGCTGCCAGCCAGAGGGCTCTGGGCAGCCGGGGCCCAGAAAGGTCCACCAAACTCTGTCACGGCAATGTCACCAAATCGTGCCACAACTCAGTGCTTCGGGGATATTTGGATGACTCATGCCACTTAAAATTTTCTCTTTTGTTCCTTTCTAATACTTAATATTAATATTAATTAGTATTGATATTCCATGGTTCATTTTGAAATGAGCCAGCTAATTTGTCACTATTAGGCATGCAAATGTGTGTGTGTGTTGGGGGAAGGGGTATGTGGGTGTGTGTGTGTGTGTGTGTGTGTGTGTGTGTGTATTCCTGTGATGATTGGCTGGCTAAGGCCTGTAGATAATAGGAAATTTAATAAAATACCTCAGACATCCCCCAACACCCTCACAATCCGAAGGCTCACCCATTTCACCCCACTAGGCAGGCCCTCAGCCCCCCTCTTCTCCTGGTTCCTTCCCCTGTGGTGTTCTACTTCCTTTGTGTGACCCCACCATAGCCACCGTGTTTCCTGAGGTCTGTGGGTTGATGCTCACCTTCTTTGCTGTGACCAGAATCTCAATGACCCCCTTGGCCGGGTCATTTCCCCAGTTAATTATAAACCATGAAATGGCTGAAATGCTTGGTTTTGCTGCTAAAAATGAGGCCCCCACCACCCCTGAGCATCGTGTCTTCTTGGTTCCCAGGACGTCCAGTCTGAGTGCGAAGATGGTGACCACAAGCCCTCAGGGACGTGTCACCTTCCTACGCGGTTCTGCCACTCAGGGCATCGGTCCCTGTGTGTCGCTCACACACTAGCCCTGGACTTAATGCAACATTTGACTGGCTTTGTTGTTCGACCGACAGCAACTGTTTCCTGCTTCTGCTCTCCCTGTGGGCGGACACCTCTCACCTGGCCCCCGAAGGACCTGCAACTCACTGTCCCGACACTAGTAACACATCTAGCCGCCATGGTCTTATTGGCGATGGAGCAGGCGTTTAATCTGTGAAGTGATAAACACACACACTCATCTTACTAAGCATTTTTCAGTTTTAGGCTCTTGGGACAAAAGTGAAATTAGAGGTCAGGATTTCACCCGCTTCTCCTCTGGCAACCACCACACTGTTGAGTGAAATCATATGGTCCTTAGCTTTTTCTGAGTGGGGGATGGGGTCCTGATCCATGGTGGCAAGAGAAGGTATGACTCTGGGTGGTGGGCACACGGTGCAATTTACGGATCTCATAACATTAGACACCTGCACCTGAAACCTCTATGATCCTATTAGCCAATGCCACCCCAATAAATGTAATAAAAAGAGAAACAAGTCAGTATTTCAGGGTGATGATTAGCGAGTTGAAAGGGCATCAGTAGCATCTAAGGGGAGGAAACACTGATATAAGCCCCCCTCCATCTCCTTCCGGGAATAAGTCTGTGAACGACTAGCGGGCCTTGGTCCATGGCCCCAGCTGTGCTCGGGTGAGAATCAGACTGTGATGAAACAGAAAAGCCTCAGTTTTCACTCCGGCCCCCAGAGGGGAATGCAGTCCCTTAGGGAAGGGATGGTGATCTGCAGCCATGGACCAAACCTGGTGGAGCCTATTTTGATTTTTTAAAAAAATATATTTTATTGATTTTTTACAGAGAGGAGGAGAGAGAGATAGAGAGTTAGAAACATCGATGAGAGAGAATCATCGATTAGCTGCCTCTTGCACACCTCCTACTGGGGATGTGCCCGCAACCACGGTACATGCCCTTGACCGGAATCGAACCTGGGACCTTTCAGTCCGCAGGTTGATGCTCTATCCATTGAGCCAAACCGGTTTCGGCTTGATTTTTTTTTTTTTTAATTGTGGTAACATACACTATTGGCCATTTTAACCATTTAAAAAATTATATATATATATTTTATTGATATTTTACAGAGAGGAAGGGAGAGAGTTAGAAACATCAATGAGAGAGAGTCATCAATCAGCTGCCTTTTGCACATCCCTTACTGGGGATGTGCCCACAACCAAGATACATGCCCTTGACTGGAATCGAACCCGGGACCCTTCAGTCCGCAGGCCTACGCTCTATCCACTAGTCAAACTGGTTTCGGCCATTTTAACCATTTTTAAGTGTGCAATCCAGTGACATTTAATCCATTCACTCTGTCAAGCAGCCATTACTATCATCCATCTCCGAAACTATCTTTATCTCCAAACTCTGTCTCTGTTGAACAGTGTCTTTCTCCCCTCCCACCCTGAAGTTGTCACTTCTGGTTTACCTTCTGTCTATGAATTTGCCTGTGCTAGATGTTTTATATAACTGGGATCATACAACATTTGTCCTTTGTGTCTGGATTGTCGCTTGGTATAGTGTTTTCAACGTTTTGCCATGTTCTCACAGGTGTCAGAACGTCCTTTTTATGGCTAATACTCTGTTGACGGACACTTGGGCTGTGTCTACCTCTTGGCCACAGTGATAATGCTGCAGCAGACACTGGTCTCTGCATATCTGCCTGAGTCTCTGCGTTCAGTCCTTTTGGGTGTATTCCTCCGAGTGTCCTCGCTGGGTCATAGAGTAATGCTGTGGAAGTTTTCTATCGTGGCTGCACCTTTTACGTCCCCACCCTCAGTGCACGTGGTTCCACATCCTGTTTTGTAGCCAAGGCTTTTTGGAGCTCAGCCACGCAATACCTGTCACCTGTGGCTGTTTGGAATGACAGCGGCAGGGTGCGTAGTGGCCGCACACGCCAGGTGGCCAGCAAAGCCCCGGAGTGTTGATAGAAAAGTCCTGGAACAATGTGTTTTTTCTTAAAGTACACGTTGCAACCGTTTCATGACTCATGGCATCAGCGTAGTTCATGGTGAGCAACGTTTACAAAACTGAGATGGAATAAAAATAGATGCTGGTCACAGAGGCAAGCACGTGGGCTTGGCGTTAGGCTTGTGCTTTGTGGCGCGGGGTCGTGGCACGCCGTGGCTTTCCTGGTGTGGGCTGAGTGATGGGAGGTAGCTGCTCTGGGATTTTATTTTCCCTCCATAATCCTTGAAACTAGAGCTGCAGTCTCTATCCCCTTTGACATCACTGCAAGGCTGTCTGAGCAGGCTGCGAGGCCTCTTCTTCCTGCGATGTTAGCGTTACGGTGTAGATAGAAGGATCTCAGAGCAGGAAAACGTGGCTGAGCCACAGAGAAGCGCCTTTCGGCCTGGTCACGTCTCACCTGCTCCGGGGGCTGGGGAGTGAGCCCGCAGGCGTTCCGGGTGCCAGCAGGGAGAGGGTAGGCACAGGGTCTCGCTCCCCTTCCTTTCCCCATCCCAGCGCCTTCCAAGCCGCAAACACCGCACCTGGGATGCTGGCAAGTGATCTGCTCTCTGAGTCGTGCTATGCCAGTGGTCGGCAAACCGCGGCTCTCCAGCCACACGTGACCCTTTGGCTTCTTGAGGGTTCTAATGCCAATTCTTCAAAACAGACTCGCACAGGCCGAAAACCGACTTCTGCGCATGGGCCACGAAGTTCCAATCGCGCTGTACGTGCGCGCCTGCACGTGGTATTTTGTGGAAGAGCCACGTTCAAGGGGCCAAAGAGCCGCATGTGGCTCGCGAGCCGCGGTTTTGCCGACCACTGTGTGATACTAATGCTCAAGTGCAACGGCACACCTGCCCTCTCTCCCCTTCCTCCGAGTACCCCACACCCCGTTTACACAAATTCACGTTTTCCAACTTCCAACAGGATAGAGTGGAGGAGGAAGAGGAGGAGGAGTCGTTAACAACGGCCCTTCCAAAGTGGAAAGCCACCAAGATCACCGAGTTGGCCTTGTGGACACCGACCCTGGCCGAGGAGCCGCAGCCTGCGGATGTGCCCGGACAGGAGGAGCCCTTGGCGGCCGAGGGTACGGCCCCTGAGGGCGTGGGGTGCGGTGGGCTGAGCAGCAGCCTCTGCACAGCCGGCTGCATGGGGTTACTGGGGAGAGGCTCCGGGCCCCGGGCCTCTGAGCACCGAATCAGCAGCACTGAGTGCATGGAGCCCAGCCACGGCTCAGGCCCTCAGCACCTTGGGTGATTCCATGGACGCCCTGAGCTAACAGGTTCCTTGGAACACTGATCCCCTCACCTCGGTCAACGGTTGCCTGTGGGCGTGGCCTCGGGAAAGCCAGCTGCCAGCAGGAGGGGGTTGGGGGGGGACAAGCCCTTCCCTGCAGAAGGGTCGGGTCTTGTCCATCATAGCAGGTCTTCCCGAGAAGTGCTTAGGCCTGGGATGCTGCAGAACTGAGAGTGCTGAGAGGCCGGGTCGAGGTGGCCTCAGGGGAATAACACTGGTCTGCTGGTTCACAAAGCTGGGAGGTCTCGTGACTGCACCTGGGAGGTCCACGCTCAGCCATCCGGGCGTGGCTGGGTCAGGCCGTAGCTGTCGGGTCTCTCCTCTCCCAGGCGGTGGCCCTGCTCTCTTCCCCTTGGAGAGGCATCCTCAGCGACTTTATCAAACTGTCCCCCAATCAGCTCGAGAGCCCTGGGGGGCAGAGAGCTAGCTGCTTTCTCGGCCTGATCATCAGAACCCTTGGGACATAGTCATCATCCCAGAGCGGTCACTGCGACGGGGACCGGATGCTCTGCTGGCCCGGCCTGGGCTGGGGCTGGGTGATGTCCACTGGGGAGGCATGGCCCCCCGAGGGAGAAGCGGGGTGCTGTCCTCGGCAGGAGGGAGAGAGGGCCCCGAGCGGGGGAGGGAGCGGCCACCCTGCTGGACGCTGTTTTCCTTCGTGTCTTCGCCTGCAGTCCTGGGGGAGCCTGGGGAGGAGGCCCAGCCTCCGGCGGATCTCTCGGATGCGGAGGCCGATTACGCGAGGCCCGGGGAGGAGGACGCCGATACCTTCCGGGAGGAGAGCGGCGAGTTCGGCCGGGAGGAGTTCCGCTTTGACAACATGGACCAGCAGGGTGAGCCTGAGCTCGGGGGGTCACACACGCTGGACAGGCCGGGAGGTTCTCTTCCCTTTGGCCCCTCCCTCCCCCCGCCCCCAGCCAGGCTGGGAGAGGGTCTCTGAGCACCTTCTGTGGCTCACGCGGGACCCACGGGGGTGCTGCTCCCTCCAGGGGCTCCTGCAGGCCTCCCGCGGGGTCAGGGACAGCAGGTCCCTCGGACGCTCTCCCTCTCTCTGCCCTTTGCTAATCTCCGTTTCTGCCAGGCGAGCAGGCCTCGGGCTGCAGAGTCCCGCTAAGAAATGCAGAGCTTGGCTGTGTATTGTCCCGTGGTTTACCAGGGCTGAGGCACAGGGGTAGGAGCTGGCAGTGTTCGGAACCAGTCCTTTTATAATTAAAAAGAATATGTTTGTAAGTAGATTCTTAGGAGGGAGAGAGAGATAGAAACATCAGTGAGAGATAACTATTGACCTCCTGCATGTGCCCTGAACGGGAATCAAACCGGTGGCCTCTTGGTGCATGGTGAATGCTCAACCACTGAGCCACACTGGCCAGGTGGGGACCAGCCCCTTTTTAAATGGGTTTGAATGCACCATTAATCTAGAAGCTTCTGACACTGTCCTGGGAAGGCCTTCCCCACCCGGAACCTAAGGTAGGGGAAGCAAGAGGAGGGGGCCGGCGTGAGCAATACTCAGGCAGAGGAATCCGAGAACCGGGCTGGGAGAGAGTGGGTCATGACATCAGGACCAGATAGTATCGGAGACCTCAGGTTCCTGAAACAGCCTGGACCGGAGGACCCTGCCTTGGCTCAGCAGTTTTGGCCTCTGGGACATTTGGCAGAGTCTAGAGACGTGGAGGGCTGGGCAGGGTGGCGGGCAGTGCTACTGGCATCTTCTGGGGCGGACGCCAGGGATGCTTCTAAATGTTCTGTGATGCACAGGACAGCCTCACACAGACAGCCATCCTGTCCAACACGCCAGCCCGGCAAATAAAGAATTTTAAAATAGAAAAGCGTTCATACCAAATACTCATGTTTCCCTTTCCTTCCCAGGAACTGCGGGTTTCGAAGATGATGACCCGAGGCAAACCGATGCTCCAGAGTGAGGGGCCTGTGCCACCCAACGCCTAGCGCTCGGGGAGTTAACACCGATCTGTTACTAATCTTTCGTATTTAGTTGTTTTGTGAAAAATGGTTTACGATTGCAAATAAATTTTTCATTCTCCTTTGTTGTTGCAATCGCCTGTGCTTCCAGTTCTTTAAACGAAGAGTTCCCAGGTTGCCTTGCCCTGGTTTTCGGCATGTCTCATCCTAGGATGAATTGCTATACATCTGCACCGCTACAGGAGATGGCTGTGGAGGGGACTCCTGGCTGAGCCAGGACAGTGACTATGGAGTGCATTTTGTCTCTCCTTTCCATCAAGACACTAGGAAAGCACCTAGAACAGTGGTCACAAACTTATTAGTCAACAGAGCAAAATATCAACAGTACAAGGATCGAAATTTCTTTTTTCTTTTTTTTTCACTCTGGAGTACTTGCTTTATTTTAATAGGGAACAGAAGTTTATTCAGGATAAAAATGTAAACTATGAAATCTAACATACAAAGGTCTTTCTCTTGCAGGACCCTCTGGTTGCTGTCAAAATTGCAAAACTCATTACATTTAAGAAAGTGGTGTTGGTCCAGTCAGAAGTTACTCCAGACACAAAACTGCTCCACACTGATTGTAGGTCCTCAAAATGGCCCTGCTAAGCAAAGATCGTCTTTTATGAAAGATAACTTCAATCACCCGTCACACACACTCTGTGGATATCCCACTGGATGAGACTATTGCCACCAAAGCCATCTTCTAAGACTTTAAGTACAAGGCCAGGAGTAAGACAAAGTTCAAGTTTGAGGAAATAAAAAACAGCCAAAACAAATGATTCTTCCAAAGCTGTGCTTTTAGATGTTGCTTAAATCCTTAAAATAATTTCCCAGGAGAAAAAAGGTGGTCGTATGCAAAATATTCCATTTTTAAATTTTTATGAATAATTGTCATTAATACACCAGAAACGGACATGATTATAAAAGATACAAAAAAATCAGAATGTTAACATAATAGAATTAAAGTTTGAGCTGAAGGCTGCTGAACAGAATGTGGGACACAGCACTGTTTGCTAGACTGTAAATAATTAATTTCACTCAGAAAAGTTTAACTTAGATTTAAAAATCTACTTTGAGCTACATTTGGATTAAGTAATTTTTGCTTTAGGTAATTTGCTATTATTTAAAGTTCTCCAAGGAGAAGGCAGGGAGGTGTGTGCATTGTAGATTTATAATTAGCAAGTTGACACTGTTTTGGTTACATATGGTTTAATTATTTATTCATGTGGGTCTAAAATGCTATTTCAGTTTGTCAGAACACAAGAGAACTTCAAAAGAAGTCAAAGTCAAAGTCACATCACATAAAAGTCAAAGGTATAGAGATGGATAAATCCATTCTAACTTCTGGAAAACAACTGACACAGTGTAACACCATCACAAAGAACTTGTGGTTTAATTCAGTTTCGCTTTGACTTTTAGAGTAAATTTTAATAAGAATTTGGTGAAAAACAGGAAAATTCTTGGTTTTACAGCTGTCCATAAGGAAAGAAAAAAAAGTTGATAGTGATGGGCCTTAAGAATCAGTGAGCAATCAATCTATTTTCATATAGTGAATCTTGAGTCATACTTACAAACTGGTGATTAATATACTACAAGACTTTACAAACATAAAACTTCATGTTAGCTGAAACCGGTTTGGCTCAGTGGTAGAGCATCGGTCTGCGGACTGAAAGGCTCCAGGTTCGATTCCAGTCAAGGGCATGTACATTGGTTGTGGGCACATTCCTGGTAGGAGGTGTGCAAGAGGCAGCTGGTCAATGTTTCTCTCTCATCGATGTTTCTAGCTCTCTCTCTCCCTTCCTCTCTGTAAAAAAATCAATAAAATATAAAAACAAACAAACAAACAAACAAAACTTCATGTTACAGAACTCCCAAATCAATGGAATTAAGTTTTTCCTTTTTAATTATTCCTTCAACAGAAAGTCTTAAAACTGAAGTTGTTCCCCATTTCTGCCGCTGCCAGCCTCTTTTGCGCTGGTTCTCAGAGGGCTTTGCTTGGCTTGCACTACGAGAAATCTTCCCTTGGGTTGCGCTCCGAGGAATCTTCCCTTGGCTTGTGCTCCGAGAAATACCTCCCTTCGGTTTTCCTAACTGCATTGTGAGAGTCAGATGTGTTCTTAAGAGTCCACTTGCTTCTTCTGAACTAATGCTTCTCTTCCTAGAGCTACAGAGCTCAGAATTCTCTTCATCTTATTGTATAACTGAGAGTTCAGGCTTGATAGCACTGGGGAGTTTATCTGGATATTCAATAATTATATCTGCTGCAATTACGGTATCAGAAAAAGCAAACTGCATTCAGAACAAAATTACAGCGATACGGCTACTCAGTCTTTAACGGTGGTAAACATTTATAGAACATCTTACAAGGAGGCATTTGTTAGGTCCATGGTACTGGAGTTCAAAAAATGGCTTTAATGGTAATTATACCCTGAGAACACACACATTTACTTTTTAATACTACAGAAGTGAGACCTGGCAGGAAACTCAGGAGACTACCTAGTCCACCTGAAGCACTGGAGATGAGGACACCACAGTCCAGGCGGCCTGTGTGCCAGGCACGTGCCATCCTGCTCAGTCCTCCCGGCAGCTCCAGGCAGCGCCTGGCCCGCCCCGCGGCGGCCACAGCTCAGGCGGGCAGGCCCATCGCCGCCCTCCCCGGCCTGCCGCCCGCTCCCCGCCCCAGGCCCTCATTCCCCGCGCCCCGTCCATCCCTGGAGGGCTCCGCTTCCCGCACCCCCGGGACCCCACTCACCGCGCCCCCCCCCCCCCCCCCCCCGCTGCCCCCGCGCCCTAAGCAGTTCTCTATCAGAGGCACCGAGTTAGGCTCCTCGATTCCTTTGCTGCTAGCCTGAGGCCAGCTGCCCCGCCCATTTTCACCTCCTTCCATCCAGTCATTGTGCCATAAGGTGTATTAATATCGTTAACATCCACCAAGTCAAAACCCAAGAATCCTTTTCAGGTTTGTGCTTTTAGGTCCACAAGTGAGGAAATCAAGGTGTTCATTCCATGGGTGTTGGAGGTGGAAGTCCCTGGAAACAGGACGTCCATTTCCAGATGACAACCAGCGGGGAGTCAGACTAGACTTGTAAACATAAGGACCAGTTCTGGGACAGGAAAGAAGGAAGAGGATGGTGGTCAGAAATCCTTCTTTCTTTGTTTAATATTTGGTTTCTTATTAGTTCATAAAGTTGGAATCTTAATCACTTCCATCTTTTCCCTTACCCAGCACATTTCCTGGGACTCAGTTCTTACAACGAGGGTCATTCCAGAAGCCAAGAATGCCCAAACTAGGCTTTTCTGTCATTGCATCAGAATTGGGGGGTGGGTCTATTCAGAACCAGAATTATAAAATAGGAACAAAATGGTGTTTCTTGCACACTTGACCTAGAGATGGAGATTCAAGCACCTCTCCGTGTCCCTTGCAAAAGACGTGATCTGTCTCTCGTATTATCCAGGGGTATGAGACCCAAAAGCCTCTCCCCTGGGGAAGGGTGAATCCAGACACCTGTGAACAACCCCAAATCCAGTTAGCTTGACCTGCAAGTTTTTATTCATCATGATGACTAGTGAGGTCGGTCTGGCCCAGGGTACCCAGGAGAGCAGGCAGAGGGCCTGAGGCGGGCAGCACATCCAGGGATGACTGTGTCCCACTCTGAGCACTTGAATGGCTTTCCCTTTTTCTTCTGCAGGGCTGGGCTGAGAAGACACCCCTGTGAGACCCCTACCAACCACCTGAACCAACTTCTCTAAGCCAGAGTACCATTTCACTCCTACCCTCTGGGCAGATTTCACTGCCGTGGGTCCCTGTCTGGTTTGTCTTACATGTTAGTTAGGGCAGGACCCATCCCCCTCTCCCCCATTTTCAAAGCTCCCCTCCCTTCTACACTTGATCAAAAGAGAGAAAGAAGCTGAAAACAGCCTACACCAAGGAGAGGGGTGCCTCAAATTCTTACACCTGGGCTCTCATAATAGCAGTTCCGACATGCTGGGGTATGATATGCTCAAGAGTGCCCCCTGAAGCCTGGACTGTGTGACTCAGTGGTTGAATGTTGACCTAGGAGAGGTGACTGGTTCCATTTCTGATGAGGGAAGATGCTGGGGTTGTGTGCAAGAGGCATCCAATTGATGATGTTCCTCTCTCATTTCTCTCTCTCCCTTCCTTTCTCTCTAAAAAGCAATACAATTTTTTTTTTTTTTAAAGAGTGGTCCTGAAAGATGTCCACATCCCAATCCCCCGACCTGGGATGAGTTCCCTTTCAGGGCAGAGGGGCCTTCGTAGATGGGATTGACTTAAGGATCTTGAGATGTGGAGAAGATCCTGGATTATCTGCTCTGGGTGGACCCCATGTTACCACCAGAGACCTTACAAAAGGGAGTCAGGAGGGTCAGAAGCAAGAGGCTGTGAGACGGTGGACAGAGGGACCAGAGAGGCTTGAAGATGTGACACCAGCGTCTTTGATGGTGGAGGAAGGTGCTATGTGGGGTGGGGTGCCTCTAAAAGCTGGAAAAGGCAATGAAATGAATCCCCCCCCCCTCAGTGCCTCCTGCTGACCTGTTGTAGAATTTGTGATCTCACAGAATAAATCGTGTGTGTGCATGTGTGTGTGTGTGTGTTCACATTTGTGTTATCTCTACCGCTCTGTGATAGTGCCTTGTTACAGCAGCAACAGGAAACTAATACCCGGGGTGGGGTCACTAAGCAGCAGTTTCCTGGTTTTGGTCTGGTGTCTCCTTTTATGGAATATTCTGTCTCTTTCTGCTCCACGTAGCCAAAGAGTGACTGAACTAGAAAAGAGAAAAACAGTTGGGAACTTGGCAAATAGAAACATCCTATATAATAAAACCCTAACATGCAAATTGACCGAATGGCAGAATGACTGGCAGAATGACCAGTTGCTATGACACGCACTGATCACTGGGGGGCAGACGCTCAATGCAGGAGCTGCCCCCTGGTGGTCAG